GATGCAGGGGCTAGCCTGTGTGCGATCGGAACGGTGCAATTTCTGACCAATGTCACTGTGGATGGCGCACACGCTGACGCACACCGGAGCTGTGTCTTTGCCATGCAAGGGCATGGTGGATGGTGGAGTGCATATGGATGGTGCGTTACGAATAAAATTAAACAAATCAAACCCCTGGAATCAGCCATGCGAGCAGGCTACCTTGAGAGCGATCGCGAATTGGTTGCGTGTCTGGAAGAAGCCTCGCTCTTTCAGATGCCGTACCAGCTTCGTCAACTCTTCGCTACCATTCTGCTGTATTCCATGGCAGCAGATACCAAGGCTCTCTGGGGTAAATTCTACGACGAATTGGCTCGCGATTACGAGTACCAGTACCGCCAGCTGACCAACAAAGAAGAAATGCTAAATCTTCTTGGTTCTTTCGCTAAAGTCACGTACAAGGGAAGTAATACAATAAAAAAATTTAAACATGATAAAATAATTCTCACGACGTTTCGGCCACAACGCAAGCCGCCGTCCTCAGGTGAAAACCAGGTATGTCGAGGCGACAGCGTCTGAATGAAACAGCACACGTGCTTGGAGCATATATATAAGCTGGGTTGGAAGGGGGGGAAAGGGCGCCTTGACAAAAAAATTTGCATATCAAGACCAAATTAGCATATTTATGGGAAATGCAGGTATGTGATTAGTACTACTTATGCCCGTGCATTATGCAGAATTAGCAGCATCAAAGGGAGGGGATATGGGAAATGCAGGTATGTGATTAGTACTACTTATGCCCGTGCATTATGCAGGATTAGCAGCATCAAAGGGAGGGGATATGGGAAATGCAGGTATGTGATTAGTACTACTTATACCCGTGCATTATGCAGGATTAGCAGCATCAAAGAAAATACAAAAAAAATTGGTAAAGTTTAAGACCCTTCACAGCCTCCACGAGTTCCTCACGGCAGGTGGGATCGCTCTGTCGGACTTTGACGACCTCCCGCAGCTTTCCGAGTACCCACACTTGGTCTTGGACTCGCTGCTTGAGAACAACCATATCCGCCGCGAATTGGACATGAAGGACTTCCCATTTCGACTTCGGCGCAAACAGTTCCCCATTGTCCCAGCATTCGCGATGACCATCAACAAGGCGCAAGGGCAAACTGTTCACAACCTGCGATTATATCTACCAACGCCATGCTTCTCGCACGGCCAACTGTACGTGGCACTATCGCGAGTCACGGCAACATCCAACATCAAGGCGCTTATTGAGGGACCTGACGACGAGGAGGAAGACGGAGTGTACACGAAGAATATCGTGAATCGCCAGATATTTGAATAAGTTGCATCATCATCATCATCATAAACAACTACGCTGGTTTGGTCGTCTGCGTGCGTATCTGGACGTTAATTTATTTACGGACCCGCCCAAACAGCTCGCTCTGATTCGATGAAAATAAAACAGCCGGCAAAAAGCCACAGCTCACTTTGATTCGATAAAAATAAATAATTAACACGCCCGGAAGAGAGCGATAGCATAGGTTTGGCATGGTCTGCGCCGCAGTGCTGCAGTGCACTGTGGGCGCAGACCCTGCGCTGTGTGAGTGTGGTGTGTATGCAAGTGTGCGAATGGTAGTTACGCTAATATTACGTTTATTTATGTAAAAAATGGGTGCTGCGTGCTGCGATTAGTGGAGTCCCCAAACAACTTTACCTTACGAGTAGGCAGGGGTCGCTATACAGTAAGTCTTAGCGGACTGAGCTGCCAGCTTCACCTGCCGGGACCACGGCCAGTTGCGTAGCACCCCTTACAGTTTCGCCCATGGGTCAATACCCCCATGGGGCAACCCAGCTGACTGTTTGATGGGTACAATGGGTACTTTTCGGTTTATCCGGCTTATTACCATTATTATGTATTGACGTTGATCACGTCTCCATGGACGGCTTGCTGTCTACTTCGGTTGTGTAATTCAGATGTTGTGCATGCTGCTGCTGGTAAGGGCATGTGTTGCATAATATGCAGCATGTGTCCGCGTATCATGTTTGGCACGGATGCAGTTGGCGTTACTGTACATTTATCATGTTTTGGAGTGCCAATCCCATGCACTTTGAAATTTAATAAACTGTCAAAAAAGGTTGCAGCCCGGCCCCCGCCGCTGTCACTCTCTGGCCGTTGCACAAGCCATATCGAAATTTGCGACATGCAAATTTCGTGTGACACCACCCGGGTAACTCCCGGGATCAAAATGGGCATTGGAAAGTGATCGCTTTATTGAGATGATTATGGTACTACCACAGGGTATTGTGAACGGTTCAGGAGGAGGAGAGGTCTGGTTTTCTAAGTCTCACAGTACCGGTAAGAAGCGCCGGGTGGGGGATGCCCTCCACTGGGGTACAAATTCTGTCATTATTAGTATACGATCATGCAATGTTTCTATCTGCAAACTGTCATAACTGAAACGATCCCCGTTATTGTTCGATTGAGAAATGGAGTGACCCACACCTCTGATATCATATGTGAGGAACCCAAAAATCTGATGCATGCGTAAAACACCCACAATGGGAATACGTAAACGTAAAAACACCAACAAAATATTTTTTATAAGAAAAAAATAGGTGGCCCCATAACGGATTTGTCTGTGTGTGTACATACAGACGGAGGATGCAGGGGCTAACCTGTGTGCGATCGGAACGGTGCAATTTCTGACCAATGTCACTGTGGATGGCGCACACGCTGACGCACACCGGAGCTGTGTCTTTGCCATGCAAGGGCATGGTGGATGGTGGAGTGCATATGGATGGTGCGTTACGAATAAAATTAAACAAAACAAACCCCTGGAAGCAGCCATGCGAGCAGGCTACCTTGAGAGCGATCGCGAATTGGTTGCGTGTCTGGAAGAAGCCTCGCTCTTTCAGATGCCGTACCAGCTTCGTCAACTCTTCGCTACCATTCTGCTGTATTCCATGGCAGCAGATACCAAGGCTCTCTGGGGTAAATTCTACGACGAATTGGCTCGCGATTACGAGTACCAGTACCGCCAGCTGACCAACAAAGAAGAAATGCTAAATCTTCTTGGTTCTTTCGCTAAAGTCACGTACAAGGGAAGTAATACAATAAAAAAATTTAAACATAATAAAATAATTCTCACGACGTTTCGACCACAACGCAAGCCGCCGTCCTCAGGTGAAAACCAGGTATGTCGAGGCGACAGCGTCTGAATGAAACAGCACACGTGCTTGGAGCATATATATAAGCTGGGTTGGAAGGGGGGGAAAGGGCGCCTTGACAAAACAATTTGCATATCAAGAGCAATTTAGCATATTTATGGGAAATGCAGGTATGTGATTAGTACTACTTATGCCCGTGCATTATGCAGAATTAGCAGCATCAAAGGGAGGGGATATGGGAAATGCAGGTATGTGATTAGTACTACTTATGCCCGTGCATTATGCAGGATTAGCAGCATCAAAGGGAGGGGATATGGGAAATGCAGGTATGTGATTAGTACTACTTATACCCGTGCATTATGCAGGATTAGCAGCATCAAAGAAAATGCAAAAAAAATTGGTAAAGTTCAAGACCCTTCACAGCCTCCACGAGTTCCTCACGGCAGGTGGGATCGCTCTGTCGGACTTTGACGACCTCCCGCAGCTTTCCGAGTACCCACACTTGGTCTTGGACTCGCTGCTTGAGAACAACCATATCCGCCGCGAATTGGACATGAAGGACTTCCCATTTCGACTTCGGCGCAAACAGTTCCCCATTGTCCCAGCATTCGCGATGACCATCAACAAGGCGCAAGGGCAAACTGTTCACAACCTGCGATTATATCTACCAACGCCATGCTTCTCGCACGGCCAACTGTACGTGGCACTATCGCGAGTCACGGCAACATCCAACATCAAGGCGCTTATTGAGGGACCTGACGACGAGGAGGAAGACGGAGTGTACACGAAGAATATCGTGAATCGCCAGATATTTGAATAAGTTGCATTCTATATTTGAAGAAGTTGCATTATTGAATAATGTCATTAAAATACATATAACCTCACAAAAATAAACATAAAACAATCACCAAAACATGTATATTGTGTCCAGCCACTTTCAACTCCCCACCAACCAAGTATATACACACCGCCCGCGAAGCAGGCGGCAACTGCTAGTTCTATATTTGAAGAAGTTGCATTATTGAATAATGTCATTAAAATACATATAACCTCACAAAAATAAACATAAAACAATCACCAAAACATGTATATTGTGTCCAGCCACTTTCAACTCCCCACCAACCAAGTATATACACACCGCCCGCGAAGCGGGCGGCAACTGCTAGTTATTAACTTAGATTGCAATTCCACCTCCTTTGTGTGTCTGTTCGAAATGTTTAGCATACTTCCCAACATACTTCCCAACACTTGAAATTTGGCATGTGGGTAGCTTCCACACTGTGTACACAGCGTAAAAAGTTTAAAAATAGACTTTTGTATTTGGGGAGGGGGGGGGTGACCATGAAGTGTGTGGCGTCAAACCGCATACAGGCCTGGCGAGAATCGATATCTGGTGAGCGTTTGTGGTATCGATTAAACGGGAATAGGCCGATTCTAAATAAATCTACAACCTTCGATTCCTTTGCTCGATTTAAAGAATTGATTCTTGGCACGCGAGCGTCAGTAGACCTTCCACCGCGCGTTGGGTTTTATTTTTTATCAATCAGGTAATGATCAAAGTTTTATTTTCATTTATGATTAAATTGCTTTAAAATATATAATTGTATGATTTATAAAGATTAGGGCTATTGTGTGAAAACTACATGTAGCACGTTAAATGTTTCCCCCCCTAAGTAACATGGCTAGACGGTACAATGCCAATGGGTCTTTTATGTAAAAATGTATTTAGGTAAATTATTATTGCAAGTACTTTGAATTCTTACCTATAAAAAATAATTTTTGTTTGTCTGTGTCTCTCCGTCTGTCTGTGTACGCAACTTGCGACGCTTTGAACTCACAAACTGGGATTTACATTTCTAACTTTAAAGTAGTTAAATTGACAATTTAGTACCATAAATTATTATATTACTACGCTGAGCGCGCGCCAAAGCACGCATCTTCGCATGCACGAAACGTCGTGGTTCCCATAGCAACGCACACGCGCGATCGGTGGGGGCGGGGAAACATTCTCATTCGCTTTAATGCAAAAAAAAGACAATGCTAAGGTAATTCTTCAAAGTGTCAAGTCCTCTTCTCCCACCCTAATGTGTGCAGTTACTACTATAGTCAGTATATTCTGCTGCAGAGTCGGTAGATACGACTATACAGCCAGTGCATACTGCTATAGAGTCTGCAGATACTACTATAGAGTCAGCAGATAATACTATGGAGTTAGTAGTTACTACTATAGTCAGTAGATACTAGTATGCAGTCAACAATGCTTGACTCAGGGAGGAGGATGCCCCTGCCATGCATAGTCCCATGGGATGTTGGCTATCAACAACAAGGCAACTCCTATGACTAATTGGGAATGGGACGCAAGCGTAGGATTGATCACCCTGTCGCTGGCCGCCTTTGGGGAGGGTGTATACTATGAAAGGCCGAAACACCCTAGGAACCAAAGGTTCACTACTGACGATGCGCTCCCCAAATTTCACCAGGCTCACTGTTCATGAACTCTTGGAAGTGCTTGCACAAAGGATAGTAACATCTCATCCTGTGTTCTTGGAATCTTACTATTGAGTCAATAGATACCAATATAGATTCAGTAGGTACTACTATAGTCATTAGATACTACTGTAGAGTCAGTAGTCATAACTGTAGCGCCAGATACTACTGGAGAGTCAGATACTACTGTAGAGTCACTAGCTACTACTCACTCTATTGTATGTAGGGTGTTTAGGTATATGTGCCTACGCGGGGGTAAAAATATTTTCTGAGGGTGGCGGGAGGGTCAAGAATTTTCGGAGACCTTTACTATCAACTATTTACCATCTACTTTCTAAAACTTTTTTGACTTATAATTTTGTTGACGGACAAATGGACAGACAAACCGCATGCCGGGCTTTCACAATAGCTTAGTATTTGTGTATATATATGTTATGTTTTTAAGTTTTGAGACGTTTTGAAATATATTTTTCCCACGGGCAACGCCAGGTACTTCCCGCTAGTATGTATGTCCTGCCCAAGCTTACTTATTTTTCTTCATAGCTTTGATGCCTCTAACTTGCGTATCTGGTATGTAATAAAAAACAGATGCTGCTTTGTGCTGCTCGCTTCTCCTTGCTCATGCTTTTTCCCTCTCTTCCCTCCCTTCTCATTACCCTGATATCTTGACCCAGTGACGACTCCACCTTAAGTCTTTGATGCAGAAAAATGTTGTGACAAAACAGAGGTTGTGCTTCTTGGCTCTGTGCACCCAACTTAAGCTCATCACCCACAGTAAAAAAACGTTGGTGGCATCCATGACCTTGCTTTGAAGTTTGAAGGCTATATGAAAAGTGTAATTTCGAAGTAATTTTTCATCTTCAAAATATTGTCAGCACGAGATCATGCTTGACCACCTATTATGCAGATAATTTGGATAATGCATGTCTTCTCTCGGGTCGATTATTGTCGCGCCCTCTTGTTTGGCATGCCTCCTGCAAGAGTTCTCAATAGGCTGCAATGTTTTCATAATGCAGCCTGCCTGACTTCTGTCTATAACCGCTTCATCCAAATATATCACACATGTTCTGGAATCTCTACTTTGACTCTTGGTGAATCTTAGAATCGACTCTGAGATCGTGTTATTAGCCTAAAAAGTACCCACCTACCATTGGGACCTTTTGAATCCCAGTATTCTATCTCACAATCTACATTTCATGGATTCCAGTCTTCTCTGCATCCCAAAGATGAGACAGCACTCCAAGGGCGATTGGGCCTTCTGCTGTGGTTCCCCATCTGTGGAATGCCCTCCCCAGCCATATTCGTGATTTGGGCATTGTCGATGTTATTAAGTCACGACTGAAAACTGACGTCCATACTATTTAGTTGGAACACTAGACCAATTACTTAGGGCAAAGTATGAAATGTTGACATTTTCATATGTGTAGTGACGTAAATGATGTCACTATAGTGTTAGCACCAGCCACTATCATAGGAGTGCTGCGCCTGGAACCTCACAAGGAGGCTAGAGACACGTGGCAGGGAGCCGGGAGCTTCTGACATGATTCAGAAGGGGGCGTGGTCGAGGACGGGGCGAGGCCGCGGCCGGGGGAATAAAGGGGGAGCCCGACAGGGATCGAGGCTCGTCTGTGGGATCGTAGTGGGGTCCCGCGTCTATTCACTCCTCGATATTCGGTCCGGGTCTTCGCTCGGCATCGTGGGTCAGGCAGCTTGTGTGCTGACTGACCCGTTCGTTAATAGTTAACCCACAAAGCACATCGTAAACAGTGTAGCCACACCTAGCTATAGAACCCGATGCGGTTAGAGTTACAGGTTGGGGAAGTTGTTAAATAAACGTGTTGCCTTCAACTCCAGTGTGTGCGCCTCCGTACAGCACACTACACATGTGAAGTATGGGAATTGACGGCAGGAACTTCTTGACGGGAACACACTTTTATTAAATCTTTACGTATCAAAATACAACGTGTAGTCTCCTTTCATCCGACTTCACACTCCACTACTCTCGTGTAAACTCTAGGCCTCTGGCTACACACGATACCCTTCACTCGTGTAGACCCTACGCCTCTGGCTACACAATACACTCGACTCGTGTAGACCCTATGTCCCTGGCTACACAATACACTCGACTCGTGTAGACCCTATGTCCCTGGCTACACAATACACTCGACTCGTGTAGACCCTATGTCCCTGGCTACACAATACACTGCATTCGGCTCGTGTAGACCTTACGCCTCTGGCTACACACACTACACTCGCCTCTGGGTTACACAGAGTCCCGGTCCCGTTAGGACAGCGGGACTAGGTACCGCAGGGCCCTAGGTCTTCATCCCCGTCTTCATTCTTCGCTGGTTACACACTGCCCTCACGCCTGTGTGCATCCCCTTTTATAGCCCCTGCTCACGAGAGGCGGAGCTGATGCGTACTTCAACGTGAGCATCGCTCCTTAATGAACCAATCACGACGCACTCTCTCTACGATCCGTTTTCCCCAGCGCGTGTTAACACTCCTCCACCAATCACACCGCGCTGCCACCCGATCACTCCCTCTCAGCACGTCACCCGTCCACAGCCAATCAGTACCCCGTAACCCACGACCCCGCGCTGACCCCTGATCCTCCACCGTCAGCGCACGTCACCACCTACACAGCCAATCATTACGCGCTGGCATACGATCTCTAATCCCAGCGCGTATCACCTCTACATCACCCCCTCCCACATAGCTTGCAGCCGGCCCGGCTGTTAACCAACAACACAACCTAACGTCAATGCAGTAACAAAGAAACTCCACCTCTCAGTGTGCCCCGTAACGCAACAACAACAACACAACACAACACTTAAATATGAAGCAATATACAGCCCGACGAACAACACAATAAAGCGAACACCGGAAAACGAACACAATAAAAGCGAACACCGGAAACCGAACGCGCCAAGTGTCTCTGTGATCAAACGCAGTGCCGAGGCGCTCCGGCTGCCTCGACTCCTCACGTGGCAGGTCACACAAAGTAGCGCGACCTAGCGCGAGTCCGTCTGGCCGGTCCGTCGTATGGGACGGGACGTTGGCGACCGTCCGGTGGCTCCGGCTGCTCAAGATCCGGCCGCCGGTGGTCGGCAGCTGTCAGTTCCGAGACACCTGGGAGCGGATCAGGCGGAGACATGTGAGGAGCAGGCAAAGACAATTCCCCCTCAGGGTCGCTGGTCACGTCACATGCTCGGCCCTCATGACACAAGGGGAGGCCATACGGAGGCGAGAACGGTTTCAGTCGGGAGGGGTGGACGTACCAACGGCGTTTTCCCCATTTTATCTGAACGCACTGGGGGCGTGCAACCCGCACGACCTCCACGGGTCCCCGCCACGGCTTCAACAATTTAGGCGACGTAGCCAAAGGTGCCTGCGGGCAATGCAGCCAGGCCCTGTCACCTGGTTCCCAATTGTGCACGGACACCTTCCGTGCCCGCAACCGCTCGTTTGCAATTTGGCGAGCCCGTGAATTAAGCCGTGCGGCCTCCCTTGCCTCTGTCAGCTTATGAATATTAAATTTAATATGCTCTGCCAATTTCGAATTTGCTCGTGGTGCGGACAGACCCAGCTGCGTTTCCATGGGCGGGTCAGCTTCCCGACCGTACATCAGATAAAACGGGGAAAATCCCGTAGCTGCATGGGGGGCCATTCTATACGCGGCGAGGACCCCAGGGACCTGCAGGTCCCAATCAACATGCGCCTCACACACCTGCTGGCACAACATAGAAGTCAATGTCCTGTTAAGCCTCTCCACCATCCCGTCCGTCTGCGGGTGGTACGGGGAGGTACGCACCTTCTTGGTACCCAACAGGTCGCACACCTCTTGCAGTAATTTACTCGAAAAATTCTTCCCTTGGTCAGTCAGCAAGCGTTCGGGAGCCCCCTTGTCCAGGATGTAGCCCTGGACAAAGGCGTCCGTCACAGCCGCCGCCGACTGGTTGGCGAGTGGCCACGCCATAGGCCACCGGGTAAAATATTCGACCCCCACCAACAGGTACTTATTACCCCTAGGCGTGACCGGAAAAGGCCCCAGAATGTCGAGTGCAACGAGCTCGTTAGTGCGCGAGACCTGGATGGATTGCAGCGGTGGATTAGCTGGCACAGGCGGTGGTTTCCGTCTGGCGCACTCAACACAACCCTTCAGAATGTTCACCACGTCACCCCCCATTCCCGGCCAATAATAGTCACGCTGAAGCAGGGCAAGCGTTTTGTTAACTCCCAAATGCAAGAGGCGTTCGTGTGCGGCCAAGACAACCTTACCCCTCACAGCAGCAGGCACCACAATCGCATGCCGCCGGGACAAACTGTCCCATCTCATCAATAGGCCTTGCTTAAGCTCGTAGGAGCCAGTTCGGTCGTGGTTACCTTCGGAACCCCCCGTCTTGCGGCGCAATGCCAGCAGGGAGCTGTCCGCCATTCGGAGACGGCCCCACTCAATCAATGACATTGAGAGCAGCGAGTCCTGACCCCCAGGGGTAGCGGGACCATCCCCAATTGGTGTGCTCGCGGCCGCAACCAACGCCTCCCTACCTTCCGT